CACACACACACACACACACACACACACACACACACACACACACACACACACACACACACACACAGACAGGCAAATGCAGCCATGTCAGAGCATCCACTGTGTTCTTACAGCACGAGCAAACACTAGATATCAGTGTGAGTGTTGGTTGGAGTGCATTTTTGTCCTTTTTTTTTCCACACATGCTCCTTCTCTTTCTCTCCCTCTATCTGTCTCTTGCTGTTTCTTTCTCACTCTGGATTACACACACACACACACACACACACACACACACACATGCGTACACTCAGTGTTTCTTCTCTTCTCCCAGCCTCCTCAGCGTACAGTTGCCCTCGGGGCTCCACTTTCCACTGAAGCCAGAGGAAGGAGGGGCCCTTTTGTGTGAATTAGGATAATGGCTGACAGCAGAAAGCAAAACAATTACACTGGCATAACCATGTGTGCCACGTTCAGCCTCGTTCAGCCGAGCAAGGGCGCGCGGGCAAAGAGCTGAGGACGTGACAACTGGGAGAAGCGGGCCTAAAGAGTTCTGAAGTCGCTGATTACTTTTAATAGATTGGGCCCTAAATAATGCAGCGTGCCAAGAGAAAGTTAGTCTAGTAACTAATGTGCAGAGATTCATCTTCTTCTGTGTGGGCCATATTAAGGGACAGGGGTCATGAAACATTGATGTGCACTCTGTGTGGCTCTCAGACGAGGACAGTCTCAGCACTCACTTGAACAGAAGCTGAGGGAATTAGGGGGAAATGTTCCAGAGACAAGGGAACTATTTTGAAAGGACCACTGGACATTTTTCCTCTTAAACGATGAGCCTTTTGTGGCCGAGGATGATGGAGCTGTGTGAACCCGGTGGTCTCTTTCCTACAAGATTTTAACAGATTATGAAGCCATCACTCACTGCGTGTGTTCAAAGGGAAACAACAATCCCAGTTTTCCTGTAGTTTTAGTTTGAGCTTTTTTTTGGCGACATAAAAGTGAGAATTTATTGCAGCTCTATTAAAAATAGTTCAGAGTACACTGACAGTGTTTTCACGATTCTCACAAAAATCTGCTCACGGCYAAACGCTCGGCATCAGGGTGCATGTGGCCAACTTACACACCATTAAACTGGAGCTGCATCGGAACGATTCTCGTACATTTCTGTGATTTAACTGCTTCGACTTGGACTGAGAAATCAAATCAGTAATCTGATTTTCAGCTGACGTATTTGACTCATCTCCTATAGAAACAATAGTGAGCAGCCTTTAATGATGGGCTCAAYGGGATTTGTTTCACTTTTCTGGAAGTTGACGGATGTCCTCATTAGGTGTCCGGTAGTTGTAACGCTTCCTTGTAAATGTGTGGCACCTGTGCAGGGTTGTCTTCTAATCTACAGGACGCCGTCCTGGCAGCTTCCAGTGACGTCTGAAGCAAAGACCTGCCAGGTATTGCCCACTTACTGCAGGAGAGTTGTCCTTGCTAACCTCTTACACCCACCACACACCGTCTTCCCACTCACTCTTTATAAGTTCGGTATTTCTGTCAAACCTTTTCTTTTTTCCTCTCCACCTTCCACCTGTACTCAGATTGTTTCTCTTTGATATTTTTCAGCTTCGTCCTCTTCTTTGCTCCATTCTTTTAGTTATTTTTATTTCTTTTTCATATATCTAGTCTATTAATTTAGCTCCCACCTCACTCCTACAGCCTTTTCCTTCTACCTACCTGATAATAATACCACACACACACACACACACACACACACTTATTCCCGTCAACTCACCAGTTTGGGGATTTAACAGAAAAGGGGAAGTAAAAAAAATGAGGAGACCAACAGAGAAATAGGGGAGAGGGAGTGAGAAGGGAGTGGAGGAAAGGGAAAGAAAAAGAAAAACAGGCAGCATTTTAATTGCTTTTTAAAAAAAAAGTGGAGATGAAAAACAGAGTTAGCCTGGAGGGGTATGGTGAAATTCTAGCTGGAAGAATTGCAAGACCATATGAGAAAGGAACACCTCGGGCGAAACAGGGAGATGAGTATTGGTTTTTTATAAAGCATTTTGCATCGATTTCCAGAGAGAAAGCGAGCGAGGGAGTGGATGGAGACAGAGCGAGAGACGGGAAGAGAGAGAGACAGATCGACGGGGAGGACTGAAGGAAAGGAAATGATGGCGGGAGGGGAGGGAGAGGCGTCTCGGAGAGCTCGCGCAGTTGAGTCAAACAAAAGAAAAGGACAACACTTTTTGACTCGAGAGCCAAAGCTCGTCGGGGTCCGAAGAGGCGAGCAGTAAATACAAGCTTGTTGCAGATTCAGCCCACCGCTTCACGTTCCCTCTGAGTGTCCTCTAATGGAGTTTGACGATGCCAGCACCAGTCTTTTGCAAATAGTTCAGATGATTTTCTTCGTCACACAAGTTTGCCAGCCAGCCTGGGAGATGATATTGTGATTTAAATGCTGATTACATCAAACATGATAATAACACCACGAGCTGTTTCYCGACACAATGATGGAAATGTGCAGTGAATGTGTAAAACGGCTCCACGTTTGAGTTTACAGTCACACCGAGCGACGGAAGCTCCAGTTCAAATGAAGTGACTTACTTGACGTTTGCAATTCTTTTTAAAGGAGGGATTTTTCTTTTTTCTTTTTTTTTTTAGCATTTGGGAAATGAACAAACAGACAAAGTGGATGTGCTTAGATGAGCGGGGACCTGCAGGTACAGGAGGAAGGAAAGCCACACAAAGAACGCGGGGGGAAATGAATATCTGTCCAAAAGGTATCTGGAGGCGCGGCGCCGACGCTGCGTGATGAAAGTTTAAAGATAATAGCAATTTCCACTCGTTGCCTTGATGAGCCCCTGTAGCCAACATCAAATAAGCTCTTCATCTTGTGAAACTTCGGTGGAAGGGGTTAACTGTCTGCGAGACGCTGGGCAGCAACAAGTGTCTTTATATTATAGGGAAGTTTGTCGGTTAAATAAAAGCCACCAATTCTCATTTCCTCGCAAAACTAGTGGGATTTTTAAGGATGAATGTTAAAAGTGTTTTGTCGTTGTAGTCTGCCTCAGATTACACATCTTAAACAAATATGTTTATAAACTGATGTGGCGCGCTCGTGTTTACATAAGCCATTTATTCAGCCTGACTGGAGCTAGTTGGACCCCGTCTACTGGGGTGACTTCAGCTCATATAAACACTCAGACAGTATAGTTGTACACAGAATTATACACTCACCTTTTAATCGTGAAATAAAACTGTCAAATCAGCAGATTTGTTTGGAGGTCGTCTCTGACATCATTGCTGAGAGATGAAATTCAAAACTGCAATTTCCACTGAGCACGAACAGGATTGCACACAGCAGTGCGGCGCTGTCTAAATTCAATTTGAATTCATAAGAAAGTTAAACTGTAACAGTAAAATATCTCTTTTTTTTTTTCCTGCCTGCATGCTCCCCTCACATTAACGTGTGGCCCTTCCCTGTTCCCTACCTCTGGTTCTTTTCCACCCCTCTGACAGATGGAATAATAGAGCTGTAATGCTACATTCATGCCATTAAYTTCTGTAAGTACAAGCAGCAGGCGCGTGTGTGCGTGCGCGCGTGTGTGTTGTTGTAATCTCTCCGCAGAAGGGACACTTCAAACAAGTCTGGAATGGGGGAACTGCGCCTTAAGCTCCTTGTTTCAACCTGTGATGCTAATGCATTTCAAGCTTAGCACTAATAAAATTGAAAAATAAATGGAGGGTAATTGTTTCATGCATTTGAAGGGAGCTGGCTCATTCCATTATGTGCTTGTGTGTGTGTGTGTGTGTGTGTGTGTGCGTGGCTGCGTGTGTGTTTGTGTCTGTTTCAATTTTCAGAATCAGTCGTCTGTTCAATGGCACTGAGCCCATCGTGTTGGACAGCTTGAAGCAGCACTACTTCATAGATCGGGACGGCGAGATATTCCGCTACATTCTCAGTTTCCTGAGGACCAGCAAATTGCTCCTTCCAGAAGACTTCAAGGTACACACCCTCTCACCCTCACCTCAACACACAATCTGCGCCAACGAGTCGCAACGCACAAATCTTGAGTTGCATAGAAACATGTTTTCTTGTTGCCTATGAGCTGCCGTATAACACCTAACCTAGAGATATAACACATCATTTAGCAGAACCAGGACAAGCGGAAAGCACTGACTTTAAAAGAGACAGATAAAGCGGGGAGGTGAAAGCGCTAACGGGCTAACCAGAGCGCGGCCTGGTTAGCCTTGAGCTGTTGTTTTCCCACCCGGASTTGTTTCTATAGAGGTGAGTTCAGGTGAAACTGCCCCTCTTCTAACCCAACGACCAGCTCACTCAAACACCATCGTCTCACTCARCGGTGTCAAACGTTGTTGTAGTTTAATACCTGCTGGTGTCCTCTCCTCTCTCCCCTCTCTGCTGAGGAGGTCACCAACATGTCGCCCTCCTTTCAGTGTTGGACCAAACTAGTGTACAGGAACAGAAAGCATTACGGCTCCTGTAGACAAGGCCTTTTGTTTTTGTCAAATATTCCTGTGCTTGTGTAGTTTTTCTATCTGCACAAGTCAAATTTGCAAATAGCTGGTATTAATACTGTAATGTGTGCAGAGTATTTTAGCAAGTTTCAGGTTCAGAGCTGCGTTAAAATGAATAATATTCATCAATGAATTCACTGATTTCACACCAAACCATTGTGGCACAGACTGTTTGGCGTGGGCGCACTGAGCTACATGACAAATCATAGACGATCACCGTTCCCATCTGAAAGCGGGCACATGTTTTATTTAACTGCAAACTGCTCAAGAGCCACAACAGAAAAGCAGAAGAAGAGACTGTTTAATTCACTCTGCATCAATCAAAGCGTGAATGGTTGGCTCAGAGTAACACGCACAAGCTTAAAGACCTGCCTATTTGTTTCAAATTAACAGTGTGGAAAAGTTTCCCGGTCATAATCTGCTGCAGCAGTGAAAAAGAGACAAGAGGTGTACATATGGCAGGCAGTGAGGTCATTTAATGTGAGTTTTGAAATGCTATAAAGCTATAATGATCCATTCTTTAATTTATTTGATATCCTTGATTTCAAGAGTCACTTTCCCACACTAGCACTTAACCATCTGAGAAGTTCAGTGTTTCACTCTTTATTTTTATATTTTCACATTTTACTGCTTTTTTATTATTATGATTTTGGATCAAGTCCAGATCAAATTCAATGAGGCAAGCACTCCTTGTTTTTGTGTTTTGTTTTAAGGCCTTTAGGACATGTTTACAATTCAGATTGGATGAAAAAAGACTATGTGCAATGTGACTTTATTAATATTATTTTAATATACCAGTTGACAGATCCAAGCTTAAACCCTCCCCGCAAGCAAGGGTGTTTTTTTTTTGTTTGTTTGTTTGTTTGTTTTTCTGTTCTTCTGGGGGGGGTTATCTGTCTAGAAAAACTTAAACAAAAATAATAAAACAAAACTTTTATTTTGTATTTGTTTCTTTATCCTCTTGTATCAAACGGTGTCTCAGGCATCCCTTTACACACCTACACTATTTGTAKGTTTTAGATTTTCTTGCTAAATGCTTTACCATGTTCACCAGCTTGAAGCTAACTGTGTCAGCTTGCAGCCAGGAAACATTTGGTTGACATATAGGGTTTTCACCGAAAACAGCTGCTGCTGAAAATTAGGCTAATACCAGTAGTGAGAGTGAATTAAAACTGTTAACAAAAATAAGCTTGAAGATTCTGAAATACTTTTTTTTTAAAAAAAAACTAAATGAGAGGGAAATTTGTATTTTTTTTCACTATGCGTTTAATACACTGTTTTTGTTTTTGCTGTTGATTCCAGTCTTGCCCCAAATTTTCACACACAGTCATACGTGGCTTTGTAATAATGATGGTATATGACGCCGGCAGATTCGTTCTTCCCAAGGTTTTTTTATTTATTATTTATTTATTTTGGCAATACTGCTTGTTAGGTGTGTTACACTTTTTCCCCTTTTCTCCTCCCAAACTTGCGTGACCTTTTCACCGGGCTGACTCGTGCTCATCATTCCCTACAAGGTAACAAGGCGAGGTCAAAATTCTCCGAGCTGGGAGGATTTCCCCGGGCAGAAACAAGAGCCAACCCTCAGCCAACAGAACACAATGAGAAAATGCTGCATATCTTACCAAATGACTGTCTGACTCAGTGCCGATTTAGTTTTACCATTTTTGCACCCCCCCCTCCCCAACCCCCAGTCGGGGAACGGGATGGGAATAAGGACCCTGACCCCCCCCCCCCCCCCACCGCTTTTTGTGAAGACTTGACAGTCCAATCAGGCGCCGGAGTCAACGCGAACACATCGGACTTCATTGTTTCAACTCATTACGACCCACTCGTATAAGCCTTTGTTGATCTGCATACCTTTCAATTTGCGTGAAGCCAGGAGAGAAAAATGCAAATAGTGCGAGGCGGAATTGAGCATGTCCTTATCTGAACACAATCAGGCTTGCCGTCGCCCGGGGGGCTAGGTCTGTTCTGCTGCTGGCAGCCGCGGCGCTGTGTGTTTTGTTAAATCAATGTGAAAGTCTGAGCAGAACAGGAAAAAAGGAACAAATTTCAGCCCATATCAGTGGAGCAAAATATTCCCTATTAATGCCCCCCCATCTCATTATTCAAACTACAATTAATCACGAGAGTGTAAGTAATGCTCAGTCATATCGAGGGCAGAGGTTTAAAACAGGAAGGGTTTCCATGTCAGATTAATCAGGCTTTTGTTTAGCATTTTACATCAGTTCTGTCTTTCTTCATATGTGGGAATGCTTGCGTTGTACAGGAGCAGGCTGGATATTCTTTCCAGTGACGACAACCTGCAAGCCTCAACACGTGTGGTTTTTAGTCATTTTTTGGATTAAAACGGGTCTTTGTTTGTCCTCAAACTCCCTCATAGTGACATTCTCCATCACTCCCTTCTCCTTTTTGTCTTTCTCTGTCTCTCCCTCCCTCTGTCCTTCCCTGAAATGTTGCCTTGCCGTGGGGCTATCAGGTCGGATCATTATTTTGAAGCTCAAACGGGCTGTCTGGACACGGGATTGGGGGATGAATTGTCTCGTAGAGCTGGCAGCGGTAACAGCAGCTTCAGCAGCCAGGACAGAGCTGTTGGCCTTGTCTCCCTCTCATCCTCACCTCAGCACTTAGGATTACTCTGTTGTTTTCTGAGCTGCTCGGGATGACTAAAGTGCCTCGCAGACAGACCCCCGTTAAAAACATATCCATCCATGGCTTCAGACCTGTGAAGGATGAGGAGCTACACTTTGATACAGAGAGCTGCCTGAAGGGGGGCGTCTCACTACGAGTTTTGTCAGCTGCAGCAAGGAGGCAAGGATGGAAAAAAAATGGAGAAAGTAGAGAAAAAGGGAAGAAAAAAAGGACCTCCAACCTCTCTTTCACATTCTGAATTCCTAAATATTAGACCTTCAGCTGAAAATGTGTTGCATCAACTCTGCGTCCAGATGAAGTCGCGTTTGCACGCCTCAGATGAAGGCACTGTTTAGACGAGGTGGGGGGGTGCTTTTCAAAGCTAAAGTGTCTGACAGAAGCAACAGGGTTAATGAATATGCTGTTTGCTGCCATCCTTGGTTTCTGTGGCCTGCAGTGGCTTGGAGAGGGAAGAGAGACGAAAAACTCCTCGTAGGCAGCCCCAACATCCACAGCCACCAAAATGCAGATGAAACATGATGATTTAGCAGCACATGTACGCACTGTCTTTATGTAAACAGGTGATCACTCACATGTATCTGTTTCCTTTTATGTTAGTTAAATGTTTGAAGACGGTGCTGTAAAATGTTCATGCTTGGGATGACAGTTCATTCCTTTTCATYGTGAGTCACTAATCAGAGCGCAGATGTAATAATTACTGATTGTTTAGCACAAAGGTTTGCCGTATTCAGATGTAACTTAATTAGATCTTGTTCTAATAGGAGTTAACATCGGGGCCAAAAGCCTTATTAACATAAAACTCCCTTCATTTGAGGAATACATAACAAAACTCCTCGGCTAATGATTGTCCTCATGTTCACATGCACATATCTTCCCTCCTCCGTGCAGTTTTTTTTTTCTGCGGTTGCGGTGAATGATGGTGCCATCTGGTCTTGTGGGAAATTAGAGGCGAGCGCATGGGGGCAAATGGCCCCCAGCAAGCCCTGCCCAGGAGTGAGAGGCAGGCAATCTGCTGCAGACTGTCTGAGCACAGGAATGCATCGTCCCACTCCGCCAGAGCCCCACCGACGGCCTTTCCACAGTCCGCTCGGTGAAACACGCCGAGGGCGAGCAGAGCTCCGCCGAGAGCAACTGTGGAGGAGAGCTGCAGCGTGGATGTGCTTTGTTCATGAAGTGTGTTGTCCTGCTGCTCAGAGGCCATCGCTGATCTTTAGTTTGTTGTCATTCATCATCTGAGGATGTACCGTCACGTGTTCTACAGGCCTGTAGTTATCACTGTCTCACCCGGCTTCATGTCTACTTTAGGTTAACTCTCTTAGAAAAGGAAACTTGAAATCTTCACTGTCATTATCGTAACATAGCAAGATATAAACTATAATTTGACTCTTGTGCTCATTATTAAGGTTTTTAGACTGTAACATACAAGCAAAAAAATCTTTCTGAMTACGTCGTAGTTCACTGATCCATCATTTTTGCAATTACATATTTGTTCCTCCATGCAGATCTGTGCTGCACAGGTGCTTTTCCACTTATGTTGTRCTATAAATGTAGCCACAAGAGTCAGAACAGGCTTGATGAAATGTTGAAGAATTTATTGAAAGTTCAAACACAAAATCTCCTCCACTGATATGCAGTCTGGATTTAGTTTATTTCAGGGTTCCTGCAGATCCTTAAAAAAATCTTAAAAGGCATTGAATTCGTCAATCCAAAACAAGGCCTTAATTAGCCTTAAAATGTCTTAAATCAATCTTCCAGAAGTCTTAAAAATGTTAAAACGTTGTAAATAGGATGACTGAAATTCATCTCATATATTAAAATAATTGGTAACATTTATGTTCATCACTTCCTGTTATCTCACATGCAAATATCTCAACAACTGTTCGTCTGAGCAATGTGMAATTTATTTAATGTGTTAATAACAGGGTTCCCACACCTTGGTCAACATCAAATTCAAGGACCTTTTAAGGACTTTCCAGTACCAATTTCCTCAAATTCAAGAACCACGCGTGACGGCAATTACTTACTGCTACCGCAGAATGTTACCAATAAACAGGTTTAATATRACACAAATTCAATGAAAAACTGAACAACATAGACGTTGTTGAGTCAGAATCAGTGAAAGAAAGTGGATTAAATGTATACCCTACATYCATGACATGTAATTATGTCCTGGGAGGTTCAGCAGCTCAGTTTGGGAGGAGGGGATGTGAACATGTCCAGCAGGAGCTGTGGTGCTCTCACCTGGGCTCAGAAAGACCCGCCCTACTCTGCTCTGATTKGATAAAACTATGACTATGGCTCACGTTATTTGTTGAAAGTCACGTCAGTTTACCGTAATCCTGAGTTATCCACCACAACAAATTTAAGTTTTACTATTTTATTTTATTATTTTATTTTATCATTTTATTTATTTTTTACAGATGATGAAAATCAGTCGAGTGAATAGAGAACTTCAATCCCGAAAAAACATTCAAGGACTTTCAAGGACAACTGTATTTTTTGACTGTTTTCACAAACTTTCCAGGGCCTTGAAATCGTTTKTTCAAATTCACAAACTTTCAAGGATTTCAAGGACCCGTGGGAACCCTGTAATAATGTTGTCTTTCCAAAAATGCATTCACTTTTCTTACAAACATTTAATGTCACGGGCACTTGAAGGTTTCATCTACAGCAAGTTGGGATTAAGACCCCATGTGGGTCATAAAACTCTAAATTTTGGGTYGTTTATTTAATTTCTGGAAATCCTCAGAGTTTAAAACTGACTGCTAAGAATGTTTCTGCTATAGTTAGATATGAATAAAAGCAATTGTCTATTAGCAATATTTGAATACTTCAACCAAAAATACTTTGATTCATGAGTTTCTGCCAGTTTTTATTCTTTTGTCATTTGTGTTTATTATGAAATTGGTCTTAAATGTAATTTCACTTCAAAAGTCTTAAATTTAACTTGCTTTAAACTGTAGGAACCCTGTTATTTACTTAGTAAATTAATGTAAAGCAGTGATAGACTAAAAGTTAGACATTACTCCTGCTGATGTGTCTGTGCAGGACTTCCACCTGCTGTACGAGGAGGCCCGTTATTACCAGCTGACACCCATGATCAAGGAGCTGGAGCGCTGGAAGCAGGAGCGCGAGCAGCGGCGGATGGCGCAGCCCTGCGACTGCCTCGTGGTTCGCGTCACGCCGGACCTCGGCGAGAGGATCGCCCTGAGCGGGGAGAAGGTCCTCATCGAGGAGATCTTTCCCGAGACCGGAGACGTCATGTGCAACTCCGTCAACGCTGGCTGGAACCAGGACCCAACACACGTCATCCGCTTTCCCCTCAACGGCTACTGCAGGCTCAACTCTGTCCAGGTAACACACCTGAAAACTGGGTTTAAAAGGATGAATACACACTTAAGTTAGACTCCACCTCAACGCAAGAGGTTTAAAAATTACACTGTAGGTCAGGGATAGTCACATAGCAGCCCGCAGGCCACATCCGGGCCACAGGTGACTACTGTGCGGTCCACCAATTAACTTGTTTAATATAAAAATAGATTCTGAATCAAATCTACATTTGAAATTTATGATTCAATGACAGAAAATAAACAAACTTGTTCTTTTACACGGTGAAGTTGCCTACCATTAGACAACACCCCACCCCTCCAATGTCCGACCCCTGAGCTGTTGGCRTTGAGTAGCTGTGGCACACTGAGTTATTTAGATAGATAACCCTGCTGTAGATGTTTACACAAATAAACCTGAACATTTAAAGACCTTTGTCCCTTCATAGCACTTAGATATTCATTTCTGTTTGTGATGCTAAAATAATTCATATTGGACATTTTTACGGTGGAAATGTATTTCTATCGACTTTTCCACAGTTTTTATTTGTTATGCACAGACCTAAAACAATCTAGTTTGCAAAAACAGGGGTGTAAATGGGCTAATCCCAAAGTAAATTGTGCATTCTTTACTTAATAATATATGTGACCCTGGATGTTTTTGCTGAGGATACAAAATAAGGGTCTTGACTTGTGCAAAGAAAAACCYGCTGCCAGATATAGTCGGTTTAAGTTCGGCCAGGATTATAGATAAAAATCAGTGTTTTGTCCTTAGTGTTGAAGGTTTCTGTTCTTGCCATGCTCAGTGGTCTCCAGAAGTGAAACATTTGGGGTAAAAATGATGTCTAGTTTTTACTGTGAATATATAAAGTAATTTGAGAATTAAAAAAAAGAGACAATGAATCACAAACATTCTTCTAGATGAAAAGTGAAAATTAAACACAATGTCAAATGATGGATTGATTGTGTAGCTTCCAACAGTGTAGCATCCTGTGAAACCAGTGAAGTCAGGGTGTTAATACACAGTATTGTACACAGTAAAGTAGCCATTTCAGAACAGATCAGTTTTTTTATTTGTTGTTTGTTGGTTGATGGGATGAAGTCTTTGTACTGGTGTTTGGCCTCTTGTTTCAGGTCAGATTCATCTTTGTAGAAGTTGTTTGGATTCAGTTTTATGCGTTATTCAGACACAAGCTGTCACACAGTGACGTGTGTCTCTTTCTTTCTTCACATTTATTTGTCCAGCAAACGATTCTGCTGAGTAAKATAACATTTCCTCACCACTTTATCTCTCACTCCAGTCTCTGTCTGTACATTTCACTTAAATGGTGATGATTTAACAGTTTTGTTTTCTGTAAGCAGCTGTGTTGATGTGTGGTCCTTCACATTGCATTTTGACCCTGAAGAAATGAAAACGTATTGTCACTGATCCAAACAGAAGCTAATTTGCAGAGTGTACATGTAGAGAGGGAAAAGGCAGACCTGTTGTCTTCGCAGCTCTTTGATGCTAAGTCTGACCCTGTTTTTGAGCTGTTAGAAAACTAGTTGTACAGCGGTGTTACCCAGCGAGCTCTGAAAAGAGGGAGATGGGAAGAGTTGGAGGGGTGAGGTGGGGGTGTGGGGGGAGAAAGTAACAGTCTCACACCACAGGCTCGATATAACGCACTTTTAGTGCCCACAGCCACGAACAGACTAACACACAGAGGAGCCTTCGCCCCCTCCAGCACCCAGAGAGCGCCTCTCCCAGGCAGGCTGGTGCGCTCTGACACCTCCGTACCCCCTCCACACTCCACCTCACCTCCTCTGCCAGTGTGAGAGACCACCTCCAGGGAGGTGAGCGCAGCATGCGGGACAAAGCATGTGTGGACTGCGGCCATGTTTTCCTGCAAAAGAGAGAAGAAAAAAGGAAAAAGAAAAAGAGGAGGAATGGAAAAGGGGTGGGGGCGGGTGGGGGGGAAATGATATGCATAATTTACGCTTTACTCCTTTTTAAGACACAGCTCCTTTCTTTAAAAAAAAAAGAAAAGACTCCAATATAACACCGCTTACGGCAATTGAAATACACGTATTGCATTTTTTAATACCATACTTACAATTTCTCAAACAGCCTAAACCAGTTTATACTTCTTTTATAGATTTTTAAATGACTTACAATATAATTAATTGGCCGCATCAACTAACACAACATTTCCCCTCCTCTGTTTACCAGTGAGACTGGTTACAGGATGTGAGCTCATCTGAATAACACAATTTGACTTTGGTGTTTCGTTTTTTGCCTTTTTTTTTTTTAGTTGAGGTGAGCTGAAATTCTCTTTTTAGACAAACAGCTTGTAGCGAGAAAAGAGCTGAATGTTCAAGGTTTTTACTCTGAGCGATGCTCTTCCTTGTCTCAAATTATAAGGAGGTGTTTGTGGTGGTGACAGTCTCCTTATGACGTGTGAATACAGAGCGTTTCAGTTAAAAAAAATTAAATGATTAAAAAAAATCATGCAGGCACATACTCAGCTCACAGAGTCAATGTCGATTAGGACGTAAGAAGCAGATGGAGGAGGGCTTTTATTTATTTAATTTTTAATTTGTGAGGGGAGATTTTTCTAAGCAACTTGCTCATTTTGTCTCGCTTTATTGTTGCGTGAAGGTACGAGAAAGTTAGAAAAGCAATCCTCGTCTTTTCCTCGAGGCGATGAGCTGCGATCTGATTTCAGGCCTGGGCACCGACCCGAGGGAACAAACACACAACCACACCCTGCCCACAGAGGAAAAAATWAAAACATGTGAGAATGTGTTGATAATGCAGGACTAACAAAAACCTGTTCACTTTCAGACTGGACATGTTTTTGAGGAGAATTTTAAAAGAAAAAGAGACAGACTGATGACAGGAGTTGATTTTAAACTGTTTTAGATGACGGGAACAGATAATTTTTTAAAAGTAAGGTGCTGCTGCCGTCACGCCTGCAGCAGGGAACTAAGACTTCGTGATTCATTGGTCCGAGTACAATAACACAACATGACTCAACATTTAACTGCACACTGGTTTTTGATCCATTTTTATCCCGTCGTTCTACTTAAACAACCTTAATCATCTTTTTAAAGTTATTACAAACTTCTTTGTACAGTGTTAAAATAATAAACTGTTTTGTATTTGTCCGTGGAATAAAAAAATATCAACACTTTTGGTGCAAATTTAGCCTCTCTTTCSTACTTTTCCATGAAAAAGAAAGTGAGAACAAACAACTCCACCTTGGCAAATTGAATGTCCACCACAAAGTCACGAGAGGAATTTTGGGAATAATGCAAACCACCTGTGCTGTGATGCAGCTCCAGTGCAGAGGAGCAGAAAGAAGCACTGAGTGGAGGGAAAATATTTGGCCAAAGAGTCACAGAGGTGTACACACCCAGCRTCCCAGTGTTGGAGCCAGGCCTGCTGCCGCCATACATCACCATGATGAAGCACTCGGATCAGACCAGGGCCAATCCGTCCTTCATCAATGTGACAGCAGACGCAGTCGTAGAGAAGGGCCTATCGTCCCCCCGCTGCCCAGGCGGGGGAACGCAGCGCGTCGTAACACTCTCTCCAACGTGTCACGCTGCCACTCCATCAATCCTGAGCCGGCTGAGAGGGGAGAGCAAAGCCCATCAGGGCAGACAAGGCCACACAAACACCTCAGCMGTGCTCCTCAGAGGCCTGAATGGCAGAGTAAAACATTAACACAGCTGTAGTTTGGAGGTCCCTCCACTCTCTGTGTGCAGCTGAACAGCACAACTTCAGGCTCAACAWGAAGCAGAGAAGACTTCAGCGTAAATATGATAAAAACTAAACATCTCTGCCTGCAGAAAGTAGCTGCTGGAAACATAATAAAATATATTTAAAGGGCTGTTCTGCCAAATTGACTTTTTTGACCTTTATATCATAATGTTGTCCCGTCATCAAAAACATTCCCAGGGTGTTGCTTTGACTCGTTCATACGTTTGTGACTCTCCTGTGGKAGCCAGGTGGAGCTGCCTAAACACTTGCTGGTGCAAAGCACCACCTATTTACCCAAAGCTCCTCYCTGGAGCTCAGTCTGCAGCCAAGCTGCCTGCCCCACGGAGCACCCCTCCCCCGAAGCATTGTTGTGCAGACATGATGAAGTGGGAATGTCTGAAATGGTAGGAAGTTCTTAAAAAGACAGGGCAATTTTAAGGTGTTTAGATAGGTCAGACGTACAGTATTCAAGTAAAACTCACCGAGGACCAGTTACTAAAATTTTCTCCCAGTTAAAAGTCCGAACAGAAGTCCAGCTTTTGTCTTTTATGTTCTTGCCTGACAGTAGTTTCACATTTTCACTGTAAACAAACTGTACTTTACAGTAATCAACTAGCTAGTAGWACATCATCTGCTAATGTTTCTGATTTTCAGGTTTCTGTTGACGCTGACATCATTGTTTTTTTAATACACCTTGTCCTTTTCTTTTACATAATGTCTCGGCAACACTACTTCACARCTGTCCCGTCACTAAATGAGTTTTTATGTTTCCCCAAAATCCACGATGCCTAGATTGAACCTTCGTTTGCACGTTGCTGGGCTGTAAAATATTTGTGATTAGTCCGATAGAGCTGTTTTACTGGGCTCACAGTTTGGTTAACTTGTGTGCCCCCTGCTCGAACTTCAGCGGACAACTTTGCTCAGAAGAGCTGTGCTTTGTTTCGTAGTTTCCACTTTTTATTAAAGCAGCTGTTTCGGAGCATATGAGGYAAACAGGTTTTGAACTGCCYGTCGAAAGAATGAACATAAATTTCTCTGCCCATTTGTCTTCAAAACAACGGTTTTCAGCATCAACTTTTTTTATTTTGGAGCGAGCCACGTGGTCACCTCTTCTGCGGTCCTCTGCTCTGACCACAGGGTRGACAAAAGATTTGATTGGCTCAACTGAGTGAAGCAGTTGCCATAAWAGAGATAACCATCCTAAGCACACGGCCCACATTGGCTCTGTGCCGAAGCTGTCCATCACCGGGGAAAAAATGCTTCATGAAAACGGTCTATTTTCG